TGGTTTAAAGTGAAAAACTAGTCACTTAAATTCTGGATCTTAACTCTTCATAATACACACTTTAAATTAGTAACAAGGGATAATTTTGTGATGTTTATATGTCTGTGTGTAGGCAATCCTTAAGCTTATAAAGAAAGTCGGATATATACCTGGAAGCAAAAGCCAGCCATTAGACTCTTTAATTGTCTTTGATTCCTATGATGCTAAGACATTTTGCACCTACCAAAAATTTGACACCTGTCTCTAGGGCTCTTGAATCTATTAAAATAAAAAGAAAAAAGATATGAAAGAAAAAGTTCAACATCTAAACGCTGGTCACAGGCAAGTCCTTGAATTAGAAAAGGGTTCACTGAATAACCACTGGTCTCAGTAATTCTTTCTGCCATCGCTTAAGTCAGACAATAATCCAAAGTACAGCACAGAAGGGTAGGAGAACTGAAGCACTTAAAATGTCAGTTAAGCAATGCTTCAGGACAGTTAGAAAGAATTAGCATTTGTGCTCAGAAGTGTAGGGTTTCCCACCAGACTCAAGCTTGCTAACATAGACTTCTTGTTTTCCAAACTTCCATACAAAAAATACTATAAACAACAAAACCCTTAACAAAAAAATGGAAAAGAAAAATGCTTTTTTGTAGTCTTGAGGTTGACAGTTGTCTCTATTGCAAAACTATAGTCTCAGCAACCCCTCTGTGTTATTTTGTAACCATTGTCCTGAAAACCACTATGAGTCAAAGCCTATTCAAGCGAGGGAAAGTGACATAACCACTGGTTACCAGTAGTGATGCAATGACAATCTCTCCATCAGCGAAATGCCACCAGTATTTACATAGTTACATAGCAGACACTTAAAGAGATAAGTCATGGTATAAAGGGAGGGTTCTAGCAGCACATGAATTCCAGATAGGGAATGGAAATAGATTATCATAGAAAATGTAATCAGCATTTGTGCTCTGAAAGGAACTTCCACAGTTTCTGTTTGCAATGTATGAAAGCATGCAGGGGGTAGCTGACAGTCTGATCGCTCAGGACTGGAACGAGTCTCAAAAAACCGCCATGAAATGTACTTCTGGGAATTCTCTGACTCCAGCAGGGATGTGGCTGAAACATTTCAAGAGAAAAGGGCAGCTGTGCTTATGAACTACTCCCCTGGTAGCAGCTGTACGCTGTGTTCAGAACACAGACCCCTATCCAAAGCCAGGAAACAGTTAAGACCTTATCAGGGATGGCCTATGGGCAGCAACTCTGTGACTTCTTAGGGGAGAAATCAGCTGGCTCTGCCTCTGCTAGTTCCTGGTATGTGTGGTGTTTGGTAAATGTTAGTACTTTGTGGGGTGTGACAGGTACAGAATGAGCCGTACAGTCACTAATGGCAAAATATTTTAAAGCCAAGATACTAATTTACAGTTCACTAGAAGTCAAACAAATACAAAATATTTGATTCTGACATCAGGCCCAGCTCTGCAAACACTGTTTTAGCAAAAACAGCTGTGTAAATGGAATGTACATGCTCAATCTAGATATGCTGGGGTGTTTTTATATAACACATCCTGCAAGCATGGAGTTTTCATACATTCATACATATATTCATGGATTTAGAGCACCAGTGGGTCATGAGGCATACTGTATTAGAAAGCAAAAAAAGAAAAAGCAACTCCCTACCTACCTGCATTGTTCCTGAGATCAAGAAGAAATTTATCCTTCACTTAAAGAGAAGAAGTTAAAGCTAGGAGGTGACTCACTCTGCAAAAGCACATCTCCCTTGTATGATTTTGCTACAAAGGGAGATTTAATTTCTTCCTTTTAATGACAATGAGCACAATACTTATCTTCTTCCAGCAGTTAATGTCTGGTTTAACAGGCAGTATGGGAGCATGACTACATTCTTCAGCCTTGTTCTGGAGCTATAATCTGCATCAGCTTTGAGACCACAAAAACAACCAACAAACCTGTTTATTTTCCCTCTCAAACACAACTAACCCAAGTGTGAAATTCCCATCTAGTAATCACACTGACAAAGCTCCTTCTCTACTGGAAGTAGGGATGTGAAAAGTCTTAAAACAAATGCAGCCACAGATGGCTTTTTACTTTCAAGTGCTCTGTGCATACTACAATAGTCCGTAGGCAAGAACTGATTTGGAGTGATGGCCCATGGAGTTGAGAAAATTAGAAAAAAAAACAAGAGGAAGGCCTGACCATTACGTCGGGAAGCTGCACTAACTTCCAGTTAGAGAACAGGAAGCGACGCCCTGAATTCTGTGTGATTTTGACACTGAATCTCTGAAAGACTTCTGGCAAGTATCTTTAACTCTCCTTTTGCATTCTGCCTCCTGTGACTACTCCTGCATGCACTGGGCATCTCTGCTGTTATACACACATTGGAAAACAGTCTAGTTCAAGTTTTATTTTAAATATGTTTTGACACATTAATCTTGAAAGAGAAGACATAATGTTCCATATACTATAAAGGAAATGAAAGAAAAGGTGTAATGGAGAAATTTATGTTCACATATCACAGTTAGAAAATAGCTAGAATGAAGACAATCACAAAAACATTAGCCATGAATGCATGGCACCATCAAATAGAAAAACCAACTGGATCATCTGGGTTTGTTTTTCCAGGAAAACTACCAATGGAACCTGTGAAAGGTCCTTGTTACCTATTGGTCTGTGAACCAGTGTGTAATAAGGGAAAAAAACCAGTGCCCTTCCCATGCAAACCTCCTGCCTTCCTGATGACTGACTAGTGATCAGCTTGACAAGAGCTCGGGACCAACAACGCGAGCATCCCAGTCAAGTTGTATCGTTCACCGTGTGGTACAGAAAGGGGGATTCACAGTGTGTCATTGAAGCATAACCAAACCTAGAGCTGGAGAAAATAACTTCTGTTCAGACATACCCAGATTCTTAGAAGGTTACTTTTCTTCTGTATTGGAATGGAGGGGCTACAGTCAGAAATGCAGTGGAATTTAAATTCCAGAGTTATTTTAATTGTGAAGTAAGAAGGTATTTCAGTGTTGAACAAATATTTAACACATAATTTACCATGAAGTTCTGACAAACCTTATGATAATTTGAAGGCTCATATTTTATCAAAACTGAGGAACTATCCACTAGCTGCTCCCACTGGCTGTTTTAGTGACAACTGCTGTTTTACTGGAAAGCTAATCTGTCAGAAGGAACGTCCAAATTAACCCTTAAATACAGAGGAATGCAAATCCCATGTTTAAGTACCCCTCAGTGTGCATGGTTAAACCTCCAATTACAGTAAACTCCTGCTTAATGAGCAGCAAGGCAAACTTGAGACTAAGAGGTCCATCAGCCCTTGCAGAGAACATGAAGAAAAGTCAGGAAGCCTTTCCATTTCTGGAGAACATGGGCAATTGCTGTTACACAACAACTGAATGAATATATTCTATCTAGAAGGTAAAGGTATTTATGGATTCTTCTCCTCTGACCAGTATAAAAATACTTTGCAAATGTCTTGAGCAATAGATCACTTTACACCCATGCAGTGCTGTTTCTTGTGATAATGTAATTCCAGAAAGAACATGAACAAGCTTCACAAAGTAAAACCAAAAAGAAATCATCATATTAATGCAATCTACAGTCCACTTGAAGTTATAGGAGCTAATTTCTCTTTATATGCTTTGGTGTGACCTGAACACAGTAGTTAAGATGCAGTATGGATTAAATCTGGAAGTTATTGATGAGTAGCCTACAAAGACAGCAAATGCAATCTGCAGCTTTGGAACAGTTTGAAATCATGGCTGATAGGTTTATTTAAAACTACAGGACACATTCAGGTTTTAAAAGCTTTCTGTACCACAGCTATTTAGCTGTCTTTAGATTGTTATAGATGGCTGTCAAAGAGTCTTTTCTTAAAAAGTAGGACAAGGGAGTCTTTTTATGCCTGTTGTGAGTCTTAAAATCCAAAAGCCAAGTCATCCTTTCCTACACAAACATCTGTGGGAGTGTAAAAGGCCTCTTGAATCCACAATTTTATTTTCAGTAGTTTTCTGCAGGAAGTGAGGGAGATAAAAGTGAGTTCTACAGTCACAAAAAATGAAAGGGAGAAGTACAGGTCATACTACTGAGGTGAAAACCCTGAAAGCAGCTAGAATAAGCCAATGCTTAACCATGGTAGTGGCATGTGCTTTCTAAACCACCTCTGACAGCAGGATAAATCCTGTAGTTCTAGGGTCCAATGCTGTCTTTGGGCCATTGCCCACAGCCTCCGTATCTTTGCTGCAGGGGGAAAACTCATTCAGGCAAGGTTTGAGGAATGCATCCCTTCTTGCACAACCCTTAGGAATATATTTGTGATCTCATGGTGTTTAAATGAGACTTAAAACATATGCTTCAAGTTAAGGGAGCTCTTCCAAGGTTTACTCATGGGGAAAATGAGTACCTTATAATAGAGTATCTCAGGGACCTAAAATGATCATCTAAGTCCAACTGCCTGACCAGTTCAGGGAACTTCAGCCTATGCTGAACTGTTTTCTTAACCTGGGGGCTTGGATGTCCTCACACCTGTGACTTTCATCCCAGAGGCTGTACGCAGCCTCTTCATCCTGGGGCCTGACTCACACTATTAATGAGTAATTAATGAGTAGATAGCTGTAGTGGTCTACAAGGTTACTGCCTCCTGCTCTTTGCTATCATTGCAGTGCCAGAGGTTCCTTCCCAGTAATAAGTCAGATTCAGATCGAACATATAGGAAATAGATGAAACCAGAAGCAGGCATTTCCAGTTTGAAATCTGTGAGATCACTGCTATTTAACTCATTCTGATCATCATCAGTTCTGGATGCTCAGTCCATGCTTCTTTCTTGATCCACAGACTTCCAATTTTCTTCAAAATTAGCTCTTAAATATCCGTAGCTATACCTCAGGCACTTAGTGAGAAGCCAGACAGCAATTATACTTATGCAAAACTCAAGTTCACATTTGTCATACTAGAGCACAGGAGTGTTTTTTAATTTTCTTTTTTATTGGAGATATTGCAGAGCTTTCTTATGATACACATTGATGAGGCTTGCAGTAGCAGGCTTTCAAAAATAATTGAGTGGTGAATCACAATCAGAAATAAATGATTTACATCTATTGAGACAGTTATTTAAAAAATGTTTTGATGAGTCATGCAAAACGCTCACAAACAGCATTATACTTTTTCATAGGTATATTTTTTGTTTTTCCTAAGTCTTATGAAAAGAGCTTGTGCTTTTAAGACTGGAATTGAAAAAATATTTAGAGCAGATATCATAAATGCTAGGTGGCAGTTCAGACAGGCAAAGTGGGGGTGGCCCCCTGCTTTGCCATTCACAAAACACGCTGAGGGTTTCAGATCTGTTCTATAAACTCCCCATTTGTAAGAGTTCAGTCCTGAATCTTCAGTATGCTCCTTTTCTCCACATCATTCATTTCCTTCAGTATAAGGGCAACATTATATCTCAGTTCTTGAAACTTTGCAACTGGCACCTGAAACAGAATATTCAGGTTAGAAAACATGAAACGTGTTAGGAACTTTAACTAGGGAACAGTGCAGAGTGTCAGCCCAATCTCTCTTAAAATACTCTTTGTTTTAGACTTAAGACAAAGTATTTGAGGTTAAAAAAAATTCAAGTAATTTAACCAAATCATCTGGGTGAAAAAGAACAGTGGGGAAAAAATCAGAAATAACAGCTATATAGTACATTTTCTATACTGCCTGATGTGAGAAAGGAAGTTCTCCAGAATGTAAACTGATGGCTGCTGTGGTGAAGTCATGGATTGGAAGGAAAGATAAAGGAATCTGGAAGGTTGTGGAGCCTACAGAATTCTCAAGCAACAAATTTCAGATATTCTGCTTGTCCAAGCTTGCAGGAGAAAGGAATTGAACCTCAAAGCAAGAGACTTGGCAGCAACCTCAAGAGCAAAGAGGACTGGGCATTGTCTACGCATAGAAGGCAAAAGATTTTGATTAAATACACAAAACATTTTCAACTTTGCAGGAAACTAATGGACTTTCCTTTATCATTTCAAGCCTGAGAAGCCAAATGGATGAAGTCTATTATCTGTTAAGACAGAGAACCACACCTGAGCACCGACTGGGTGACACAGATTAACACACTAATGTTAATAGCAATAGCAGTCTAGCTAGTCCCAGGCTGCTCTGCAGAGCACTGCCTCATTTACTCCACTTCTTTGACTATATCGAAGACACGCAGTTCTTTTGACAGAGTCCCTTGTCATCCTTCTGCCCACTGTAGCACAGATACTGATTATGTGAGAGGAATCCAACAGCTGATTTACATTTTCCATATGCATCAGAAACACATAAAAAGGCATCACGTCCTTTTCACTTTTGACATATATACATCAAGACTCAAAATGCTGCAATTCCTGTTGCTTTTAAAAAAAATCTTCATTGTCAGAAATCACATTGCCATTAAAAAAACAAACCAAACCCAAGAGACCAAAGAGTGTAACTTCTCCCTGTGGCATATACATATAAAAACTATTCATAATGGAATTATCTTCTGGACTGACCAACTTAGATAAGCCCTGTTAGTTAGTAGGACATTCTGAATGCATCCAAATGAAAGGAAACTGAAGAAGTGAGGAGATGCATATGGTACCCTGAACCAAAACACACATTTAAAATATACAAAGGGGTGAATTTGATCTTCTGTGAAGTGACGCCCTCAACACTTTGTAATGTAGCACAGAATTTGTGCCTCCCTCAACAGCTGCCTTCTTGTGAAGCATTGTAACAGTAAAATCAGTCCACCTCTTTCACCCCAGAGTGCTTTGGTGCTTCCTCCAGACTTACTACTAACACGTGAACTGAAGCTGAAATCTTTACAGAGTTCCAATGTAACAATGCCTGCTGTGCAATGAATCCCTGCATGCACCATCATGTTATTTACAGAACAAATACCATTCCTTTTCAAAGGTTAAAAATATGGAAGAGTTTATGCCACCTCCTGGCAAGCCTTTACATACAGTGTCAGTTACTGCCACTGACTAATTCTGAGGTAAAAAGCAGAGAGGTTTTTTTATTTTCTTTCTAGCAGCAATAACTGTACTGAATAAAGAGAACAGAACCTCTGCCACAGAAGAGACTGTTACCGTGCTCTGCCAAATGTAGGATGTTTAGAAGTACATCATACATCAGAGAAACTACCCCAGTAATTCTCCTGCCCTCAAGAGCCACCATCAGGTCTGAAGTTTACAGTAGATAATAAAAACATATTTTTTGATCAAACCAGGTATTATGCAACAGTGCTTTTCAGTAACTAATATTCTAACAAATGAGGTTTCAGCAAAATGTGTGTAGGAACAAGGTATGAAATGATTTTGGTTGGCTGTATGTGGCTACACTGAACATAGAAGATTCCAAAGCAAACCAACCAATGATAATGCACTGTTTACAAAAGCTTTAATATTTTAAATAGTAATTCAACTTTCTAAAAAGAACTTCAAGTGGTTTCTTTTTTATTTATTACGGCAATCAGACTTACTTCAAAGCGATGAGCTGTCCCATCTGAAAGCTTCATCATCATTAGAATGGATGGTTGAAGTGCACGGGCCAGTGAACTGAAATTATTTACATTATGAGTATTGCAACAATAGACATCAGCAGTGAGATGAGTACAGCATTGTACGTTAACAATTTAAGATGTTCACGTCGGCTTTACATAGAACATGAGTAATTTCAATCACAGAGTCCTGTACCTGGCTGGCTGGCACCTCATGAACATCAGAGTCGTGTCCAATTTACCTCAGTATTGAGACTAAAAATTTTTGTAATAGTTCAGTAACTGCAAGTTTAGGAACATTCTCATTTTATGTAATAATCAGTGCAGTGGAACTCCGATAAGGATAATTGCTGACCAAGTACTGCCAGTAATAATGCTCAGTTTTTTAATGCAGTTTACCATGTTGCCTTAATCCTTTTTCATCCCTTCATACTTTCAACTGCCATCTCATCTGGGGAATCAAGGTCTTTCAGTCTTCATCCTAAATTTGTGGATTGTTATTTTAGTTGATGACCCAAAGAGGGGAAATGAGTCATTCTTGTGCAGGTTCCATCAACCGATGTTGCCAAAGCCTGCTCAGGTACTGACAGGCGTTACAGCCAGAAGCCATACCTCTTTGCACAGGCTGGTGCTGGATGATAAAATAAGAATTCCCAAGGGGTGAGGTTGACTGGAAAGGAAAATAAGAGGAAGGAAAATAGAAAAGGATAATATATTGCTGCTGTGTTGTTTGGAAAAAAAAAAAATCAGGATTTGCCTGCAGCTTGCAAGCACTGTGCCTGCAGGTGTCTGTCTGTGTGTTTTACTCTCTTATAGGTACAGATTTTTTCTGCATAGCGATACCTGTGTGGTGCTTGCAGCACTGCTCATCTGAGAGTCACCTGAACTAGTAGCTTGTGGCCATTACAATTATCACTTAGGAGCCTTTTTTCTTGCTTTCAGGATGGCTATCCCTGATTACCCATGGGCCTCTCAACTATGGCAGCAAGGAGACCGCGCTCTCCCTCTGACGCAGGTATTCATGAACACAATATGAAGTCACTCATGCTAACAATTTGCACTACTGACAAATACTGAATCATCTTCCAATTTCTTTCACCCTAGTCCGTCTTGGTTAGAACTAGACAAAGACTGGGAACAGCACAGACAACAGGTTTCTGTTTCCTTCTGGCTCTAGCCAAAGATCCATCTCCCAGCTGCCTCTGCTGTGGCAGATGGCAAGAAGCTATTCACTGCAGGCACAGACAGGATGATCACAAAGGCCTTTACTCCTGTTTTCTGAAAGAAGCCAGGAGGTAGATCAAAGACAAAATGCGTAACTATGGCAGTGTAAGGTGCTGTTCTGAAGCCTCTCTTTGGAGAATCTACAGCAGACACTGGATTGGTGATGGAAAGTTATTTAACATATGCATATAAAAATGGTAGTCTCCTTGAGAAGTTGAATAGAGGATTTCCCTCCCCTGCTCTAGTGAAACTGAGAGCTTGCCTGGTTGCATGAGGCTCAATCTGTCTAATTTATTCCATCATCTCCGAGAACCCATGGAGTTGTATCAACTCCATAAAGTTTTAAAATATTGAAAGAGACTCAGACTTTGACTGAAATATATCTAGTATAAAAAATTTTTAGAGATTAAAACAAATAATGATCCTAAAAAATATCATTAGTAGAAGAAGAAAGCAGCAGCCTTTTGGCAGGTCCATGTTAACAGCAGTAACCTGTATATAGACTCACTTCTGCATTGCTCTGAAGCTTCACTCTGTATCTTACCATTTAATGCTACATGCCAGTACTTAACGGGAAGATACATTTTAACACTGTTAAAATAAGCACCACAAGAATGTCAGTTTAAACTTAGGCAAATTAATTTCTAGGGTCATGCAGAATTCTCCTTCATACCTTGTGGATATAGCTACGTCCACTCTCCACCTGAAGTCCTGGACACTTGGCAGCCTACTTCCTTGTAGCAGAGTTGTGCCTTCGGAAGCAGGACGCCTACAGAGTGAATCAGAAATGGGAGAGTGAAATGCAAATTCATTAAAGAAACAACAATCTAAAGAGAAAATGAGATTCCTCAGAACAAACCTCTCTAGAACTTGTTTCTTTTCTATTCTCATTTGGAGAGGACTGAACCAGTGGAGGTTTTGTGTATTTAAGAGAGCTGTGCTCAGATTACCCACTCCTCCTATGCTAAACTATGGTCCATGTTAAAAAAAAAAGAAAAAAAAAAAAAGAGACCAAGTGACTCTTATGTAATTTCGATAAGCTGATGTCACTATAAAGTTTAGTAAGAGTCACTGTGGTGACTGGCATATCTTTTATTTCAATTATATGCAACTGTGAGGCACAGAAAGGCATCTGCAAATACATCTTTACCTTCATGCAGATCCAACAGGAACAAGCAAGGAGGAATAAGACAGATGAGAAAAAAGTTGGATTAAGGTCACTGTGCCCCTTCAGCAGAAAGCACCTAGTATTAGCTAGCAGCAATTTTAAAAAATATATCAATATTAGAGTGTACTTTGAAGCATACTTCACTGGTTCTTGCTAATCCAACATAATTTACAAACTCTTAAGTTCCTTACATAACATTCACTGCCAACCCCAGCACAACCTTCAAGGTTTTTGTCTAGTCTAACGTGTAAGAAGCCAAGAACTTTATTTATTACTCATATTGCAGGAAGAATCGGGCTGATCAAGCCTCAGTTTATTTCTGCGAGGAAACAGAGTTGACAGCGATTAAACTTGAGATGTTGACAATCTTTAAAATTTTAACAGCATCTCAAGCTCTGGGTAAGTCAACAAGCCAAATCTGATACAAAGACATAACAACCACCCATTTTTAGATACGTGTGCAGAAATGTCTTCAGAATGAGGTTCTGAGTTGGTCCATTCAGGAGCTTGTCTGGACTTCGTTACTTACCATATTTTTTTTTTTTTTTTGCTAAGCATCCCATGTCTCTGGAAGTTATTTATGGTACATTTCAAAGCTACTCCAGTACTCCTGCTAAGGGCAGGATAAGAAATGTTACATCCCTTATCCATGGTGCTAGAGGGAATCTAATTACAGACTTTACATCAGAAAGGAATCTTCTCTGAACAAATCAAGGATTGTACAAATGATAGTCTAACACCCATACTCTGATTTTTGTGTGCAAGTTAGCTGGTGCCTTTAGAAACTGCCCAGAAAGATTAATGATTTGGAAGGTACACAGGACTGCCAGGCTGAGATCCTCCAATAGTCTTGCATTTAGCAAAGGAAATATAAGAAAAAATATAGCATTTTTTTGGGGGGGAAAGGGAGGTTGGGTGGTGTCAGAAGTGACACACATTCCTAATAGTATGGTAAAAGAATGAGCAGAAAAAATAGATCAGCTGGTTCTTACTCACTGTCAGCTACTGGATAGGAAATAGGTCAGCACAGCTGGGTGCAACCAGCTGTAGTCTAGAATGGTCATTAGCAGGATTAAACAATAAGAACGGGCCTTTCCCTCACTGGCGAGCTGCTGCCAGAGTGCTGCTTAATTTGGGGAATGCTTAAGAATAGCCACACTGCTACTGCTTTCTTCAGACATGCTAACTTCCATCAAGGAAGACAGTCCATTCCATGCAGCACCACAATTTTGAAGGAAGACAAGAATAAACGGGAAGATGTTCTAGTTAGCAGTGGTGGGAAAGGTCAGCAATGCCCAAACATTGATGCTTCTGAATATGGTTAAGGTATGGCATTTCTGTGGCCAATCCACAAAGCTTTAATTCTGGTCAGGACTGCACTTCAGTTCCATGCCCTCAGAAAGAGTCACAGCTTTTAGAGCTTTGTTTAAGCTGTCAGCACCTTCCCAGCTTGGACAAGATCGCAACTGGAACTGCAAGAATCCTGTAAGGATGACAGAATGAGCCTAGTGGCCAACATACATACAGAAATTATACAGGCCATTAATCAGACCTTGGATTTCTAAGAGGAATAGCAAAATGGAGCAGAAAAGACTCTATGGTTCTTATATCCAAAACCTATAGACTAGAATTACATTTTGTAAACACTCTGTGCCAACAGCTGCAAGGTGCTGTCAGCACCTAGTGCAGAAGGCAGAAGTTAGAACAAGGAAAGCACCATGGATCAGCTAGAGACCATCCAAATTATATATGGGAACGATGATACACCTGGTGACAAGAACATCATCTGCCAAAGGATGCAACAGAAAGTTCTTGAAAATGAAAGATTAGGTGCTTTGGAGCAGCAGCTGACCTAACTATCAAAACTAAAGACAAAATCTGGTTCCTTATGCACACAACAAGACCTGCCAAGCAGGCCAGTGAACAGGGAGAATAAATAAATTGGTATGTTGAAATGCTGACAAATGGGACACAGAATGCACCCCTGGTAGAAACCAAAGCTATGCTATTAAAAAAAAAAAAGCAGTACATTTGTTATAAACATTCAGAGAGGGGGAAGGTAGGGTTATCCTTCCCTTTCAAAAGAAGTTTTAATTTCATGCAGTTATTCAATGGTGTCAATATGGCAAGTTTTTCTCTCGTTTTGTCTGTATAGCTTGATGGAACTGTGGGGACACAGAAATACAAACGTAAAATTCCCAGTACTTCAGAGCTGTTGTTCAGTGAACAAAATTGCAAAAATAGAACAAGATGCCAGGAAAAGTATTAAAAATGGCTTCTTCTGGGTTATCTAACTCATACTGAATTTTTGATCAGATGCTAATACTTCTCTTACCATCACAATCATATATATTTACAACTCAATAAGCATACGTATGATTCAGTGTTACATTTAAGATTATAAAAGCAATCTGTCTAGAAATCAAATCTGAGGTGCTCTTCTCCAGTCTCAAAACACAGCAAGATTACACTGGATAATCACAGCTTTTGAAATGAGAAAAAGCTAAATTTTCCAGCATCGTGATTTCACAGTAGAAAACAGACAATCATGCATGCTTCAAATGACATCTAAATTTATCTTCTTTCTTCACTGCAAACAATATTTCCACTTTGCAACCATGAATTTTGCATTCTTAACACCTACAATTCAAAGAGAAGAGCAAAGAAAAGATGAGAGGGCTGAATTTATTTTTACTCCAAGAACCTCTAGCTTCAACCCAAGATCTTAACCAAGGAAATGAAAAATGTTTTAAACTTTGGTAGCAGCACTCAGACCCTTGTGACAGCAACTGAAATATCATAACTATGATTATCAATATTCCATGCAGAATATCTGGAGCAGTGTTGGGTTAATGATGCTATGCGCTGAGTGACCTCAAGTTTCAAGGAAGAAAGTTTTGGATATGCAAAAAGTTTAAGCAATTTCTAGATGTAGAATAAGCTAAAATAGGTTGAGCAGAGAGCCATATAGAAAAAAGGAATCCCTAGAACAGACAAGAGATAGGCTGTTCAGAAAGTTCTTCATTTAGTACTTCCCCTGGAGGTATACTGCTTAGAAAATGAGGTACAGCTAGGAGAGCACTTGATATCCCATACGTGTCATCAAGTCACCCAGTGGGAATTCCCAATTCACCTGTACATTAAGACTTGATTAAATGCTATCTGAGAAAACTCCCATGAACCACAGCCTGTAGAAGGTGTAGGTAGCTTCCCTCTCAGCCAGGCCTTTCACTTTTGCTCTAACTTGTAATGATAATGACAATAAAAATGCTTAATTCTGCAATGCATTTTTCATCTGTAGGTATTGATGCACCTTACAGAGGCTATAGAACATTATTAAAACTGATGGGTGATGATCACAGAAAAATTGGAAATTGGCATGAAAGCTACTTACTGCCTATACAGCCTTGTACGACAGACATCATGTTATGTTGAACCAAAGTAACAGGACAAATGTCATTCTCATTAATTTAGAGAATTTTGCTGTTCCTTCAGTAGCCCTGGGATTTTTGTCAGCAGAGCTCTCTGCAACCCTGCTGTTGCACAATGCATGATACATGAAGATACTAACCTGTTACCAAAGACTATACTGGAAAAGTCCATGATGAAATCTTCTGGTATCCTTAAAGAAAAGAGCAATACCAAATAGTTAAGTGTTTTGTAACCACAAATAGATGGCCTTGGCTACAAAAAAAATAATTAAATAAATAATAAAAAAAAATCTATTATAGAACACAAATAACGTGTCAACATTTTCCCTCTTCCATTGCTTAAAATCACCATCAGCTCTTACGTAAGCACTTCAGTATTGATTCAGTCTAGGCTCTCAAAAGGACAGCCTGTGTTTTGATATCAAGAACCCTTAAAAACTGTATTACATCTTCCTGTCCTACCTAATATGGCAACAGTGAGTTTCAAAAGAACCCAGAATTTCCTTAACTTCTCTCAGTGAAGATCTGCCAAGTGGAGAAGGCAGGCCAGCAGTGCATGCTTTCAAAAATACCAAACCTACACATTTCATTTCACTTTCACCTGAAATGTAATGAAAAGAAGACAGAATGAATTGTTCCCTCAAAAGTGAAAACAGAGGCCCTTGTAGCTAAGATAACTTACAAAAGGAGCATATCTAACATGGGGACAAGCATAAATTTGATGGGCACCATGAGAACTGGCTGACTAGATTAACTCACACTCCATCCACCCTATGCCTCTCCACTACTTTACCATTCTTCCAACAGTGTTGTTGCCTTACAAACAAGCTGCTGTTGATTTTCAGTTCAATATATCAGGCTATGAAGTGCAAAGACTGCAGAGCAAACACTATCCATTCAGCTGCCTTTGCCACAGGGACAGTAACCTCCTACAGAGAGGCAGGTTGGACAAGTGGGAGAAGTAACTACTGCTGTCACAGTTAAATCCAGCACTCCACATGAATCAGAGCCCAGAGACATTACTCACCAGTGGCCTGAGATACACAGCGGTATATCAAAGAAAAATCAAAGTAAACAAGGAAGTTACCTGTCCTAAAGGGTTTACAGTGGCTAATGATGGGAGAAAAAACAACTCATCAACTCACACAGTGGGAAGATGAAACAGCAGTTATTAGAGCTTGAACTCTTAATGGAAGAAGTGGGGTTAAACCACATTTTTAAGTGCTGCTTGGATAAAACTGAATTCATATTATCAAGGTCGTTATCTGTGGCAAACTGGGAAGTCAGGAAGAGGAACTAGACAATGCTTTTTTGTCTGTGTGTGTCTGTCTTTCAGAAGAGACAAGACTATTTCTGCAAACATTACTTACACTTTCCATGCAAGTGTATCACTGAACCCATCCTGATGATGTAGTGGAATAGCTGGAGACAGGGAGTTGTAATATGATTATTATGATACTTATCACAACACTTGCTTGACTGTAAAAGCAAGTGTTACTAAAACAAAAGCATTAATGCTAGCTTTGAGCTTGCATTATTTTTGCTGTGCAGTTAATGATTTTGCTGAAAATTCTGTTCCTGGCTCAAGCAGTTGACATGAGGCCAATCACACACTGAGCAGCTCAGACACAGAACATGGCACAGCTCAGGCCTGAGCTACATATGGCATTCAGTTTTCAAAGGAACCTTCTGAGGAAGGGACTCAAAGGGCAAGGAAGAAGGTGTGAAGATGTCTCAATCCCATGTTATTGGCCTGAGCCATAAAGTTATTAAACCTGAGAAGGGAGGGGGAAAAATAGCACCTACAATTTAGAGTGAATTTATTCTCACTGGCTCAGCCAGTCAAGCCAAGAAAGCCATAGAATGGCAATGCTGTGAAACCAGTAGTATTGATCTAATTAATCAGAAGCAGGCATGTCTCCCAGTCTCTCTCTCCACCAAAACTAGAAGCCAAGACCAGCTGCATCACCAGTAAATTGAGAATTACAAAACTTCATATGGGTGGAATTAGTCCAATCTTCAGCTTCACTAAACGAAACAAAATAAAATGCAAATGAGGTGAAAAAAGGTAACCTGGCTCAGAGCTCAAAACTTTTAAAAGAAGACACAACAAAAAAAAGGAAATAAGCCATTTTTCTGCCTTAAAATGCAAACTATCTGCCCAAACACTGAATGCCAATAATGCCAAGTCACTGCTGTTCAACAACTTTCATGTGATTCTTCAGGCACATGAACACAGGATGACCCACAGGAGTCACTGCAGAAGGATAAGGGTCTGAATGTAATTAGTGGCTGCCTTAAAAACAGGCAGGCATTTCATCTCCAAACCCAAGAGCATTGGGAAACACAGGAATTGACATTTCCCATAGGAATCGAAGATACTAAAGGTGATACCCAGTTTACTAAGTATCATGGCTTAAGAGTAGAATAAGCTACTTAGTCTTCTAAAAGTTTAGCCACAAGGTGAAGAGAGCTACTCACAGGAAACAAGACTGTCAGAGATGGAAGTTAGGAAGAATCCCAATAATGTGAGAATCATGGGAGCACAGCACAACAGGCAGCACATAAAACATACAAGTCTGCAAGCAACACAAATGCAGTTACCTGGACTATTGCTGCTGTATCAGTCATGTTAACCAGAACAACAAGATAAAAAAGCTTTTTCAGAATAGAAAAGATATAAAAAAGGTCACAAAGTGTCTTCATAGTTCCATGAATAAACCATAAAGAGAGAAAAACAACTACAAAAGTGTAAGGCACTAAGGTGTGGTCAAATGACAAGGACAGGGGCCTGGCAGTCTGTACTAGATACAGCTGGAGCACACAGCCAGCCCAGCCAGTGGCGTGTGGCACTCCTGTACAGCAGATTTCTCCGCTGCTCAACAGAGAACTTGGCATGGAGCTTTTAGTGCTCTTCATTATTCCTTAATCACACTGAACACATTCTGTGTGCACCTCAAAAAACACCAACTGCCACTGGGTCAAAAGCAATTCATCCGTTTCTTACTGACCTACTTTAACCTGGGTGTGAACTCCATGACATGGCAGAGGAAGCTGCTTGCATTTTAGCTTACAAGACAAAAGGCAGGCCAAACTCCAGCACTGAGCTGCAGACAAAATTGTATCAAGTAGCAAGACACCTTTCAACATGGCCCCAATTACACCCTTCACCGATTGCACCCCGATTACATGTCTGCATGCTTTAATCTGCAGCTTTAATTTGCCTGAAGTTGCTCATAAAGTAACTTACGCTTATGACTCTGCAGGACAGAGTCTGATGAGAAAGCCCATTTGCAGGTTAACGGACAAATAAGGATGAAAAAAGAATTAGAAAAATATCTGTTTCTCCTGGGTAGCAATCAGAATGCTAAGAATTATGAGAAATTAGCATTTTAAAATAATTTGGCCTTGGTGTAGAGGTTTCTCTATAGATTACAACAGCAACTGCTGTTATTCTCTCATTGCAACTCAATATGGAAATAAAGGAAAAACCTACAAAGATCATTAGCACCTGATGTCTAGCTTTTAGGATATGAACTTCTATTCAGAGACACTCTAAACAGACTGATAGAGGTTTTGACTTAGTCTGTAACAAACATTATGCTTTCTTGGGTAACAGGCAGGAGAGATCGTAGCTGAACAAGGTGGTAGGATTTAATGAGCATTATATCATTGGCCTTTCAAAGAAGAAAAAAGTAGGGCAGTTTCTTAGCTTCTGAAATCCTACCACTGTTACCAAAGATGTTAAAAAATATTGCAGGGCAAGGTGGGGATGGCAGAGAGAAGGTCACTCACATTTGCATAACCTACATTACAGACTAAATTAGACCAATCTCTCCAGCATGGGAAATTTACTGCTCATGCTCAGTGCTAAATCAAGTCTTACACAACACGTGTTTTTCCCCTCTGTCTTCACATGACATTTGGCAACAGATGTATTCTGTGTTATTTACATGTAATTCTTCTGACAACTTTGTTGTGTAAAAAAGTTGATTTGGGGAAGCAGTTACCTAAAAGTTATGAAAAAATAGATTAAAAGAACAGGCATAAAGAGGCATACCTGAGATCCTTTAGGTCTTCCTTAAAAACCTAGAAAGACAAGGAAGGTGAAATTTTACATGATGTAGTCTTGAAAAATCATTTCTTACCTAGTGAATTAAGAGTGGTTACTTGCTTGGTATCTCTCCCCAGAAGTTTTAGTCTCAAGTGCCAGTAGTTTTGAAATGACAGGTTACATATTGAGAAGAAATTCCAGAAGTGTTCAATCAAATTGTGAGAAACTAATTTTAAAGACCTAAATCTCTTTGAAGCCTTTACTTTTGAAAACAACATCCCTGCCTTTTCTTTTATGTAGCAATCCATAACATATTCTTCTTCTTTTAGAGTAATCATGAGCTCTTATTCTTACATGTTTTGCAGTAACTTGTTTAAACTATGACAACAGAAAGGAAGTGGCCAAAGATAAGCTCTGAATACCAAAAGCGTACTTGCACTGTTTCCTGCAATATACAAGCCTTCCCAGTATGGCTGGGTAAATGTGAAAACAGTATCTTCAGCAACAGAGAGGTGGCCAGAAGCCCAGAACTGGTTTTCTCACATAAAAATAAATTGGGGGAAAAAAAAAAAGTAAGGTAAAGTAAGATGAAAAAGGAAAGAAAATAGCCAAGAAGAAGGAACAGGGGTCAGGAACATGGCTGATGTACACATATTCACACAGAACATCCAGAGCACAAACAGAAATAGCACTTTCTCCCAATTTCCACTACATTCTTCTGGCCATAAGATCTTCTTTCCTCTATGGCAGAAGTACAAAGAAAGGCAGGCAAAGAAATATGAGAAATTATAAGTGTGGACAAAATGAGTGGTATGTGTGAACACACAGTGAGGGTAAGAGAGAGAGCTGATGCCAATGAAATAACACTTTGCAATGGTTTCTTCTGGGGTTTTAATTTAAGAGTGAAAACAAACATGCAGGGTAAACAAGATGCTGAAGCAGAAAAAGATACCAGAACCTTTTCCCAAAGCCTATACTCTTCCAAAAAGCTCACAGTAAAGTCTACCCAGACAAGTAAATAATAAGCTCTAGATTGTTAACAAATTTCTTCCAACCACTTTAACTTGGAGCAACATTTTTATGTGCAGCTCCCCACCCTGGCAAATAGGGTTTAGATGGTAACTTGCATCTGACACAGCTTTTAACTTATCAGGACTCCAAGTACTCCCAGAACTTACTTCTTGTTTGAAGGTTGATAAGGGGAGTCTCAGTGCTTCTCGGAGAAGGGTATACATGCCAGAAATGAGGAAAGCAAGCTGCTCTTCTGAGAGATCAGTGCTTTCTGCAATCATCTTGACAGATTCTTTGCAATCTTTTCCTTCCAGTGCATTAACAGTGACTGTGAATAAGAAAGCACAGCAAAATCCCTTTAAAAAGAGGAAGACCTGGAGACCATGAACATTAACATGTTTATGATTTTACTTGTCTTAATGTACTGACATTTTTCCTGATGTGAAACTGTCACTTCAGGTCTCTGTAAATACATCTGATTATCCAGCACCACGGCTCATTCTCACAACACCTCACCACGAGAACTTCAATGGATTCAGCTTTTGCACTGTAAAACTGAGGATGTTTTCACTGTTGAAATTTGTTACAATGGGATAATGCAAAAAAGATGAAAAAACTCCCTCACGAGTACAAATCCAACTTGAGCTTCTTTCAACAAACCTGTTCATATCAGAAGTCCACTTACAGCTTAATTACACTCCTGATACACAGGGTAAGAGAGGCTTGAGAGAGTAAACAATCCAACACCGTTCTCCAGTGTTTCACATAATTTATCTTGCAATGTCAGCAGAGACCAGGATTAAATGAACAAGAAGACAAAACTAAACCTTCAAGTCTTATAGTTTGCACAACTGCTGATAATACAAACTTTAAAGGAAATGACTGTTAACCCACGTGGCAGTATTATACACTGGTGTGGGTTTATCTCAGTTTTCACCATTCAGTTATTCTTCCTTTTTCCATATATGCACTGGCTTAAATAAATTTCTGTTGTCATGTCAGCCTCTGTCCTGCACTCTGATCAGTCTGGATGTGCTGCTGGAGCCACAGGAAGCCCCACTGTGGATAAAGAAAAGATTACTGACACAATCCCATTGCAGGATTGGGGCATTAGATTAGTCATTTATAATGAGCCACATTTAGTGCTTTGAATAAAACATGAAAGTTAAAAATGTCCACCAAGCATTACTGAAAGCCAACACTAAGAGATTAGCTTAATACTAAAGTTTTTTTTTTTGGTTTTTTTTTGGGTTTTTTTAAAGTTTTAATCAAACTGCCAGTCTTCCTTTTGGTATTAGGTGGGTTCCATCGACTACTGTCTTCTAATTCTGGATAAAATCTCTTCGCTTTTCACATTTTTAAATGCACACCAAATTCAGTGGCAAGTCCTGCATCACTCACATGGTTCACTGAATTTGTCTGCACGGCAGATTTCACACAGAGTAGCTAGGATGTGCAAGGTGCTAGTACCAAGCTTTCCATGCTGGCTGAAAAATGCTCTATGACAACAAAACTGACTTTGAGAAGAGTGCATTTACTGGACAGGCCAACTACAGACCAGCACTGAGGCCTGTCTACTAGATCATGGGAAGAGCAGGAAACAGGTTGCTGTTTGCTTACCTACTTAAATATAACTTTGACCTGCCTCTTCAAAGAACAACAGGTTGCTTATTGTTTTTAACTAGACAGCTTTAATGACAATATTGGTCTTCCTTCTGTTGATCAACACTAATAACTGGTTAAAATCTATGTCTTCTTTTATAACCTACTTGCATTACCCTAAAATACAAGATTTTTACTCAGTATAGCTTAGGGAACTCAGAAATATCAGCTCTACCAACATTTCCAACAGTCAGTCTGAGGGAGGAAAAAAAACAATAACCCAAAAACATCCCAAGAAGATCTCAATGATGGGTCACTTGCTCCTGGTGGAAGATGCCTGCAGTCTCAAACTTACTCTTGCCATCTAGCAGAGCCTGCAACGACACTGGCTGCATAACCCTGAGGTAAGGGTATATGGAGTTTTCACATGGTGAACTGAGCAGGCATATGAAGCAGCATCTCATTTTTTCTATTAGCTATTATTCATCAATAAACAGCAACAGCCTCAAAAAAATAACTTGGTGCAAGTGCCAGAGCAATTTCAGTATACTGCACTGAAATCCATCATGTCTTCAAAGACTTCTAAA